CTCTGCAGCATCTCTGGTCCCTTTCACCTCTGCAGCATCTCTGGTCCATTTCACCTCTACTACAATTCTGGTCCATTTTACCTGCAGCATCTCTCCAATATGGTCCCTTCTCTCACTCTGCCCCAACCCTGGCACAGAATCTCACTCCATGCCTAGGGCGGGGGGCAGTCTGCCTGCCTATCTTTCTCCACTCCAAGCCATCCTCATTTACCCACCGAAGTGTGTTAACACCTCCCTGCCCCAATTCAATAAACTCCAATGGCTCTCTATGGCCTCCAGGATTAAACAGAAAATCGTCTGTTTGGCCTTCAAAACCCTTCATAGCCTCAGCCCCTCCCTTCTCTAGTCTTCTTTCCTACACTTTACTCCTTACTCCTATCCCATGTACTCTGTGATCCAGAGACCCTGGCCTCCTTGGGTCTCCTCACACAAGACCCTCCATCCCTGGCTCTGCGCATTTTCTATGGAGGCGCCCTATGTCTGGAATGCTCTCTCTCCTCATTTTGGTCTCCTGACTTCTTTCAAGTCCCAGCTTAAATTACACCTTTTACAAGATGCCTGTTCCCATCCCTCTTAAGAATAGGGCCTTTCCTCTATTACCTCCCAATTTATCCTGCCTATACTTAGTATGCACACAATTATTTGTGTGTTACCTCTCCCATTGGATTGAGCGCTCCTGGAGGGCAGTGACTGTCTTTTATCTTTCTTTGTATCCCTGGCACTTAGCACAGTGCCTTGTACAGAGTAGGTGCTTGTTGGCTGATGCCTTCTCCTTGCCAAGGCAAATCCTTCAGCCCACCCCTCACCTTTTCTTTCTCCATCTTCTGGCTGCTGCCTACAAATATGCCCATGTCCATCCTCCCATCCTTAAAAAGGCCTCCCTCTGTGCTCTCATGCATCTCCTTGAAGCTGTGGGCCTCTCCTTTGCAGCCAAGATCCTGGAGAAGTCCTCCCACTCTTGGTATCTCCTCTCCCTCTCTTCCTAACTCTGCCATCTGGTTTCTGACCTCATCGTTCACCTGGAGCTGTTCCCTCTACAGAGGCCCACGATCCAAGTCAGCCTCAGGGCCTTCTCTTCATGGTCATTCTCCTGGACCTCCTCTGAAACCGCCTATCGCCCTCTCCGAATGCTTTCTAGGTCTTCCTTACTTGGCTCTCTCCCAGTTTTCTTCCCTGTCTGGCTATTCCTTCTCAGTCTCTTTTGATGGACCTTCATCTAGGTCTTACCCACTAACTGTGGGTGTCACCGTCACCCCTCTATCCCCTAAGGTTCTCTCCTGGGTCCAAAGGGTGGTCTGGGGACTCCCCAAGACCCTTTCAGAGGGCCCACAAGGTCAAATCTATTTTCACAATACTACTAAAGACATTTCTCTTTCTAATGGTAAATATCAAAAGGCTAATTCAAGCTAAACAAAAGCTTTTTGGGAGGAGGGGTCCTCAATCATGTTTAAGAGTGTAAAGGCATCCTGAGATCCAAATGTCTGCAACACACTGCCCCAAGACTCTCACTTGGTAAGCTCCTCAGCTCCCATGGCTCAGTAACATCTCTAGGGCGAGTAGACACAAATCAGCTAGGTGGCGCAGTGGATAGAGCTCCAGCCTTGGAGTCAGGAAGACCTGAGTTCAAATCTGGCCTCAGACACATAACACTTACTAGCTGTGTGACCCTGGGCAAGTCACTTAACTTCACTGCCTAGCAAAAAAATAAAATAAAAAGAGTAATCCTATGATTACTTGGGGCAGCTAGGTGGTGCGGTGGATAGAGAACCGGCCCTGAAGTCAGGAGGACCTGAGTTCAAATCCGGCCTCAGACCAAACACTTGACACTTACTAGCTGGGCAAGTCACTTAACCCCAATTGCCTAAAAAATAAAACAACAACAAAAAAACCCCCAACAGATCAACAGACGTGCTGTGTCTCTCCTGAGCAGGCATCCCCATGGCTTTACAATTCGCTACCTTTCTGTCCATGCCATCCACAGTATCAGCTGTCCCTTTCCATTATCTAGATCACCCAACTCTGTCCTCCGCTCACAGCCACACAGCCATCATCCCCTCCCCCCAGATGCCAACAGCCTCTGCCTCATGGCCATCCCCCACACTGCTGCCCAGGTAATTTCCTTCAGGGCAGCTCAGACCATGCACCTGGACCCTTCAGCCTACTACAGGGGCTTCCTACTGCCGCTCTACTCAAACAGAAACTCCTCTGCTCAGCTTCTCAGGCCCTCAGAGCCTGGCCCAGATCTATTTTCCCAGTCTCCCTGGACATTAGTTATCTTTTCCACATCCTGGCAGTTAAGGGCGTGGTGCCCCCCTGCGATCTGGATAATCTGCAGAAAATGTTTTGGCTCTCCCTTTGTACCAGAGAAGAAGTCTGAATTATTACGGTATTAAAAAGTAAAATATGTTGATATTTTACAATACTGTACATATATTTTATGCATCTCTGAGTTTCTAAACTTTTTCTGTGTTGTCTGCTGGCCTTCGTGTGCCTGCGGCTTCTGCAAAACCTCCCCCAAATTCCCATTTCTTATGCTGACCCTCAATATATCGAAACTGAGATGAGGAAAGTCACAGTGTAGAAGGGCCACCTGTATGAGCTGTCCCACACTCCGACCCAGCTATCCCAGGCTCCTCCTCCCTCTCACATGATGCTCTCTGCACTGAGGGTCTGGCTCCCAGGCCTAGAATGCCCTCCCCTCTGCCTCCTGGAGGCCCTCTTCCCCTGCTGCTGCATGCAGGAGTCACAGGGCACTGTGGTGAGAGCCAGATTTCCCTGTCTACCTCATTTTGTTGCCTGGCTGTCTCCCAGAGTCAGTGCGGGGTGCGGGTGGGGGGCTCTTGCGAGGAAGGCTTGTTGGATTCTTTGTTTCCCCAGCCCCTTGCACAGTGCTTAGTACATATTACGCGGCCAAGAAATGCTCACTGACACTCAGGCAGAGGAGGAAGGTGCAGAAACCGCAAAAGGGGAAGAGACGCACTCAGGACACAGAGCAGGCTCTTTCCTGTGCCACCACAGGGGCCTGGCAGTCTGGGTGTCTAGGGAAGGTGCCAGGCACAGATGACCCACTGGCCCCATATGGCTCTCTGCTGACCTCCCAAGCAAACCCCAAATTCTGAGCATGGAGTGAAGACAGCTGTTGAAACTCCAAGGAAGCTCTCACCACTGAGAGACCTTTTGAGGGGGTCAGGCAGAAAGGGCCACGGGGCCACAGGAGGGTCTCTGGGGGAGAAGTCAAGCTGGAGAAAAGACATACTCTCCAGGAAGCCACTAGCAAGAAGTACAAAACCCAGCCAACGGGCAGAGGTAAGGGAAGGTGCTGGTGCCCTGCAGACAGTGAGAGCTCTCTGTTGCCCTCTCTTCAAGGAAGGGAGAAGCAGTCCTCCCCACTGTGCACTTCCTTAGAGAGACAGAAGAGGTAAAGGAAACCGGCGAAGAGGGGCTTCAATGCCAAAACAGAGAAGGTGCTTCTCAAGAGGCAGCTGGGGTGCCAGCTTTGGAAGCGGGGCAGGAGACCACTCCTGGGTCTCCCAGGAGAAGCAGCTGGACAAGAGCAGAAGGAAGGCCCTAGGAAAGGGATCTGGAGGGCACAAGAGCTGTGCCGGAGACCACAGACTGGATTTGGGGAGGGGGCATTTGAGAGGTCTTGGCAAGACAAAGAAGGTATACGGTCAGAGCTGAGAAGAAAAGCGTTTGACCTCCAGGCGAAGGATGAGGAAGGAAAAGGCAGGAGAGCAAAGGCCACGGGGGCCATCAGCTACCTGCCCCAGGGGAGGGGCCACAGGCATGGACCTCGGGCAGCCAATGCCGGGCTCCACGGCTGGGTTCTTGCCCCCCCATTCTTCCCGTTACCGGCTGGCTCTGTGGGAGGAGGAAGGGAGGGGGCAATGGCCAGGATGGGAAAACAAGAAGTGCAGAGCTGACTTTGGAAAAGCTCTCCTCAGGTTGCCCTCATCCCACAGCCTTTTGTGGACGGTTCGGAAGCTGCGGGTCGCCGCCGGTACACAGAACTTGCCTCGATCGAAGCTTCTGACATCCCATCTCATGCTAATTTGGGACAAAAGGCAGAGATGTGGATTTCTTTGTGGTTCGGTCACGCCTGACTCTTCACGACCCCTCCTGGGGTTTTCTTGGCAGAGATACTGGAGGGGTTGGGCCATTTCCTTCTCCAGCTCATGTGACAGATGAGGGAACTGAGGCAAACAGGGTGAAGTGACCTGCCCAGAGGCCGTCAGCTAGAAGTGTCTGAGGCTGGATTTCAACTCAGGAAAAAGAGTCTTCCGGGCTCTTCGCTGGGGTTCTGTGCACTATGGCGCCACCTAGTGGGCCACATGGACTAGAGAACACAATGAAATGAATCCAGAGTGGGCTGAAGGGTCGTCTCCAGTGGCATGCCCCAGGGATCTGACATCGACGGTCTGGACCAAGGCACAGACGGCCAGGGGAGGTGTCACAGCTGCTGCTGCAGCAGCAGCTAGGCCTTGGGTTTGCGAAGCTCCCGCCACTGCCTCAGAGGCTCCTGACAGCCCAGGGAGGGATCTGAGCACCAAGGATCGCCTTGAAAAGAGTGAGACGGGGGAGACGGGCCAGCGGAAGGATGACAAAGGTCATGGCCAGCCAGGCAATGACAGAGAGCGGGAAAGGGAGGGAGGATCCTGGCAGGGCCAGCTCTCAAATGTGCAACAGAGCCAGAGACAGGCTGCCCAGAGGACGGACCCAAAGGTCCCAGAGGAGAAGCACCAAAATGCGGGTGGGGGGGAGTGGAGATCTTCCGAATGAGTTTCTCTGATAAAGGTCTCATTTCTAAGGTTACAGAGAGAGAATTGGGAGCCCTTCTCCAGTTGATAAATGGGCAGTTTTCAAAGGAAGAATCCAAGTCATTAAGAGTCATGTGAAAACATGCTCTAAATCACTGCTAATTAGAGAAATAGCCAACTCCGAGGCTCCATCTCAGCCCCATCAGACTGGCAAAGCTGGCCAAAAGTGAGCAGTGCGAGAGGGCTGGGGAGAAGAGGCCCATGAGGGCCTGGGGCAGCTGCGGCAGCCGGGAGCTAGCCCAGCCAGGTGGAAAGCAATCTGGAATGATGCCCCAAAAGACAGGAAACCACCGGTATTACTCCTAGGTCTCTACCCCAAGGAGGTCAAGGCAAGAGGAAAAGGACCCACACGTACAGAAATATCTATAACAGCTCTTTGTGTGGCAGCAGAGAACTGGAAACTGAGGCAAGGCCCTTCACCTGGGGAATGCTGGACAAGCTGGGCTATAGATGTGATGGAATACTACAGGCCTATAAGAAATGAGGAAGGGGATGGGTCCAGAAAAGGCCACGGACAAGTTCTACAATGACAACAGCCAGATTCCGGAGCTTGGTGCTCACTGCCAAGGTTCTGGGGAAGCAGTGCCTGCTCTGGGCGGGTCTCAGCTGGGGGCCGGGGGTCAAATAGAAGGGCTCAGGGCAGAGCTGGGAGGATGGAGGAGGCGGGGATAGCACCAGAGTGGTCTCTGAGGGAAGGGGCTGCCAGCGCAGGTGGTGGGTGCCTGCTTTGACACGTGTGGGCTGGCAAGTGCTCGGTGACCTCTCTAAGCCTCAGTTTCCCCATCTGTAGAATCAGCATCAAGGCTACACTCAGATTAACACTTTCCAACCACGGGAGTCAGAACTAGGACAGCTGGAGGCCCTCCAGGTGGCAAAGCAGCCAGCGCTGTCCAAGGTGGCATGCAGCAGGATCTGAACTCGGGTCCTCACTACACGGAAGTCACTCCGGTCCTTCGGGAGCCAAGGCCGGCCACACCACCCTCTCTATTGGCCCCGAGGCGATGGGGGGGGGGGGCTCAGGGGCGGGGGAGGGGCCTCACCACTTCTCCACCAAAACCTTGCAGGACGAGGCCTGTGCGAACAGTTGGTTCACCCGGCTCTCCTCGGCGTCGAAATGTCTCCTGTAGAAAGCCTGACCGGAGAAGGCGGCGTTCAGGCTGCGGCGGGCACTGGCCTGGCACTGCCCCGGCCGGAAGGCGAAGGGGCTGCCAGGGGGCAGCAGCGCCTGCCCATCCCCCCTCTCCCCCGCCCACCTGGTTCCGGTAGCCCTTGTCCACGCCCAGCGTCCGCGTGCAGAAGCGGTGGCGGGCCCCAAAGTGGCCCATCAGGTAGGCCAGGTCAATGGTCCAGATGCTGCGCGTGAGCTGCAGCTCCTGCAGCGCCTGCTCGAACGCCGAGTCGTCCTCTAGGAGCTTCAGGTACCTGGGGGCGGGGGAGGGCGCGGGTGGGCCACTGGCCAATCACCGAGCTGAGGGGCGGGGGGGGGGGGGGGGGAGGAGAAGAGATAGAAGGCGAGGGTGGTCCGCCGGCCAATTACCGAGCTCGGAGGGGAGGACGAAAGAGGGGCCAGGTGGAGCACCGACCAATCACTGAGGTCCAGGAGCGTCGGTTGGGGGGGGAGGAGACGGTGGGCGGTGGGCCGCTGGCCAATTACCGAGCTGTGAAGGGAGAAGGCGGGGCAGAAGGGGACGGAGCAGGAGTGGGCAGGCCACCGACCAATCACCGAGCTCGGGGGAGGGGCGGGAGGGCAGGCCAGCGGCCAATCCCGGCGCCCGGGGGAGGGGTCACTGGCCCCGGGCCCCGCCTCACCTGAGCACCATCCTGGAGCAGGCCAGCCCGCAGTCCCAGTGGTACTGCTGCTGCACGATGGGCACCTTCAGTTGCACGAAGTCGCCTGGGACAGAGGACGAGCATCGGAGGAGGGCGGGGTGGGGGCCCCCCAATGGGCCAACAGCGGCCCCGCCCCTCCCCTCCAAATGTGCTGGCTCCGCCCTGGGAGCGTCAGCCCAGAGTTCAAATTCCGCTCCTGTCCCTGCCCTGTCCCGCCCTGCCCAGTCCCGGGGCTCCTCTGCCCTTTGTCTCCGGATCTCCGGAAGAGTCCCAGGCTGGGCATCCAGGAGATACTCATAAAATGCTCGTTAGCGTCGGTCAGAGCAGGCTAGCACCCCGCAAATGGGTCCCCAGGCCGTGCCTCAGTCTCCTTGGCTGTCAGAACGGTCTAGGACCTCGTAAATGGGGGCCCAGGATCGTGCCTCAGTCTCCCTCCCTCAGAACGGGCTGACTCCAGACGCCTATACCGTCCGTGTCTCAGTCTCCCTTGCTGTGAGAACCCAGTAAATGGACCCCCCGATCGTGCCTCAGTCTCCACCGCTGTCAAAGCAGTCTAGGAGCCCGTAAATGAACCTCCACGGCCGTGCCTCAGTCTCCCTGACTGTCAGAACGGTGTAGGATCCAGTAAATGGACCCCCACGGCCGTGCCTCAATTTCCCCGGCTGTCAGAAGGGGTTCACTCCATACCCCTCCCCTCCCCCCTGCCCGTGCCTCAGTCTCCCCGGCTGCCCTCACCGGGCTCGGCCCCGGCTCCTTCGGCCTCCTCCCTCATGCCGCCTGCGCGCGGACGGGCCGGGGCTCGGGCTGTAGGGGCGCCTCGGCCATGGCCCCGGCCCGATCAGCTCCTGCCCGGGCCTCGGCCCCTGCCTCGGCTCCTCAGCCACTCTCCGGCCCCGCCGCCGCCGCCGC